ATTTCAGGTAGCTATCCTCACAAAATATCAGGAGCAGTACTGTGGCGGCACTCTGATCGCCCCTAGGTGGGTACTTACAGCAGCCCATTGTGTTAAGAAGAACAACAGAAGAAGAAAACTCATTGTTCGTGTGGGGGAGCATGACATTCAGGTAAACTAAAACTATGACTCGTTTTAGACAACTGACTCAAGAAATGGCTCACATTTTTCATTTAAAAAAAAAAAAAGATTCAGAGAAAACTGCTCTAATTGTAAAGTTGCTTTACAATGAGTCAGGATTGTAACAATTTAATTTCGTCTCATGTCAGATTATTTTACAAAACTTTACATGAAAATAATTATGTTTAATCTTTCTCAATGCAAATGATGTTCTCTGTTATTCTTGCTGAAGGGAGAATCTAAAGTATTTAATAAGCCACATTATTATGCTTCTTTATCTCCCTTGTAAAAAAATAACATTTGTGTTTCCCCTTTAAATCCTTCAAGAGCTTTTAATCATTTTCGCACTTATATTTTTATCATATTTGAGAAAACAAAAAGAATTTTAAAATTTAAATATTTTTAATACGACTTGATATTATTTATTAAATTGTTTATTGTAAATAATTAAAAAATAAATTATTGTTTTCCCATCACCAGCATTTTGACCCAACACAAGAGGATATTCGAACTGAAGAGGAGTTCCCACATCCAGATTTTGACTACCAAACCATAACCAATGACATTGCTTTGATCAGACTCAAGCACCAACCATCAGCTTTCACGCACCCTGGCTACGCCTGCCTTCCCAGACCAGAGTTTAAGCCACAACGTGACAAGCCCTGCACCATTGTAGGCTGGGGCAAGCTGAAGAACACACACATTTATGGTTCAGACTCTCTGCAAGAGGCAAAAGTCCCAGTCGTGGGACACCAGAAATGCCGGCGCGTGTTTGACTACAACATTACTTCTACTCAGGTCTGTGCTGGCTACAAAAGAGGGGGGACCGATTCTTGTGCCGGAGACAGCGGTGGACCACTTCTTTGCACCAACCCGCAGGATGACAAAGTGAAATATTACCTGTATGGAGTGACCAGCTACGGGGAAGGCTGTGGAAGGAAGGGGAAGTATGGAATTTACACAAAAGTTTCCAGTTATCTGGATTGGATTCACCGGACCATTAAAGACAACAGTTGAGACACTATAATAACGACCACAGATGAGACACCATTAAGGACAACAGATGAGACACCATTAAAGACATCAGATGAGACACACAAAAGATGTGGGCAGACGGGTAAGAATGTGCTTGATACACTTCTACATTTTTCAAATCGCCCTGTTGAATGGGATGTCAGTTATTGTTACATTTCCAAAAATGTGGACTAAAAAAAAAATCAGGGCATCCATGTCGATTTAGGCAAAAAGGAAGCATTTGGATCAAGGACCAGTACTGTGCCAAAATAATGGCTTTGAGTTAAGGGAACTGGATTATCTCTGCCACAAGGAATGGACAGCGGCCATTCAGTTTGTCTAACAACCTATCAAGGAATAGCACTCATTGAATTGCACAGTCCCAAAGCCTGTTGAAATTCGGGTGTTGTTCTTTAAAGTTATTTATTTAATTTGATTTTGTCATTCATGACAAATTCTAAAGTGGGGAAATAACGGGCCTACCAATACAGTTCCGTGATTGATTTAAAACTGTGATGGTTAGCGGCTCATACCTTTTTGACCAAATTATTGGGGAATGAGTGCTACGCCATTGCCTCAGGAAATCCAGACAGGGGATTTAGGAAAGGGTTACTGAAATGTATAATTTCTCAAGCTCAGTAAATTTTGAATGAAGACTACGTGTTCTTATATAAAATAATTTTGAAATTATTGACAGTAAATAAGTAATGTGCTGAAGCATCATATTGACCATAATAAAACAAAACTGTGATGGATTAAATTGGATTTTTATATTGGTCTCCCTCATGCCACATTTATTCCAATTTTAAGAGAAGTTTAAAATTTAGAACTAATTTTTTTTTTTTTTACCTAGGTGTTAAAATTATAAAAATTATTACACAACTAGAAAATTACAATGAAACCTATTTGTTTCTTTTATCAATCATTTTTCCAATGTTATGTATCCATTTACAATTACATTTATCCACAAAGCACATATCATTGGTCATAATTAAAAGTACACACTCTCCAAGTTTTTTTTATATTTTTTTAAATCTGTCTAGTAGCCTTGTTTGTCACCCAGCCATACCAATATCAAAGTTTTCAAGTACGGGTTTATTACTGTATAGGCCATGTGAATATAATTTACATGAAAGATGTGTTTTCACAATTTTGTTTGTCTAGTATTTGTTGTGTTATTATGTGTAGGGATTTCTAAATAACATTGCATTCAGTTATATGAAGACATTTGTTAATAAATTACATAATTGGTTCTACTTTAAAAAAGTACACATCCGAAAAGCTTTTGCCCTAAAATTAACTGAGAAGCCAAATCTGATTATATTTATTATTTCCAATATAATTGAATCAATTTGTTATTCAAGTATATCCAATTACCTTCAACTTATTGATAACATTGCTGTTACAATGCTTAATTATGAGTTATATGCTATTTCTTTTTAAATGTGCTGCAGGGTATGCATATTTTCTAAACTAGACAGATGCAGTTTAAAAATTAGAATTAATCATTGTATTAGTTATCACTCACTAACATCAGGGCCATATTGAGGGAATTTAGTTCATTAACTGTAAAAAGATTTAGAACCACTGGACTATACCCGTTCATTTATTCCATAGTGTTTTGTGTTTATTTGTGATAAGTAGGCCTATATATTATGAATCAATCATAATCAAGTAATTTTAATTATTACATTTTTTAATTGAAAAATACCGTTTCCATTGAGTAAGACATAATAATGCAGAAAAAAATTCTACAGTATTATAAAAATATGGAATTTGATTGTGAAAGTTTTTTCCTTTTTGCTCATTTAAGTTTTGTTTCTTAGGGTTTAAATTAAGAATTTAGAATGGGCGCCCATTATAAAGTAATACAATTTTCACTGCATTAAGATTTTACACATTCATAGGATATATATACAAAACATTTAATCTGAAGTCTATATTATGTTTCTACACTAAATTTTCAATTTGTACTGTACCTATTAATGAAACAAAATGTATGTGAAAATGCTGTCTGGTAATGAGATGGGTTGTGGAGGGGGGGAGGAGTATGGTAGTTTAAAATTGGTTTAAGGGTTGGTGTAAAATTCAATTTTAACTCCACACTAAAACCCACGTTTATAAATTTTATATCACTAAATAAATTGTATTTTTACTTATTTCTGCACTTATTTTACAATATTTATGAAAAGTAGAAAAAAGGTAAAATTTAAAATTGGTAACTTTTATGAAAAACAGAATAATTCAGTCCATCGGCAGCCCAAATATATAATATCTCTTCCCTAGCCAACAGGTAAATGTAGCCACCAATTTTTTTAAAATGTCATTATGTTTTTAAAAAGTATATATAATATACTATCAGGGTGGGCTAAAAAAATTGAAAAGTTGTATAATATATGGTTTTATTATTATGGTAATTGTTTTGTAATTTTGCAATTAAGTGCTTAACAATGTCTTCAAAAAGATACTGTGTTTAATGTGCTCTCCCAGGTTTAAAAAAACTTTTTTCTCCAAACGAACGCACCATTTGTTCATGCTACTGTTAATAATAGGCTGCAAAGTTTTCCTTTATAGCTTTTTTGGCCCACTCTGTATGTGTGTATATATATATATATATATATATATATATATATATATATATAAATATATATATATATAATATATATATATATATATATATATATAGATATATTTATATAGATAGATATAGATATATATATATATATATGTACATATAATATATGTATGCATAATAAATATATGCATACATTATATATATATATATATATATAT